ACACATGTAAGTACTTTATAATGTAGCTATATATTTTAGTCATGATTAATCTATGAATTTGTAGTGATATGATATAGTTATGAGGAAGATACAAGAGGTAGATAAAATAGCTTTATTCGGGTATTTTTAGTCACCCCTGGGGGAACCCCAGCGGGGACTATTAATTTTGGTTTCAGTCCCAGATTTTGACCTCTGTTAGGAGGGCTGTTGTGTATCTTGCTTCTGTCGGAATATACCAGGCGCTAATTACAAGCTCTTGGATAACTCAGATATCGATTTCCTTTTTAAACAGGAATAGACTAAAACCTAAAGGCGTTCCAAATTCCCCACGGGAATTACATATAATCTAAAGATGTTCCGAGTATGAATCAAGCACCTTTGAGGTTCCCGAAGGGGTAAACTGTCGTATTATAAATTGCTATTGACTGATTTAGAAATTTTATGTCTGACCAACGACAACCGTTAATATTTGCGTATAGTGCGCACTTTTTAAGGGGAAAATGAAGTGTCAAGAAAGGGGTGTACACGAAACTCAAGAACAATTCAAAACCAGTCAAAATCAAATGTTTTGATATATGCTAACAGCAATACAACTGCTTAATTTCGTTGAATAATCCCTGATTGCATTGCCAATTTAACAATTACGAAAAGTTGCAAGTTTAAGTCATATAATACTATAGAATCGGATAAATAAATTTGAGTAAAGTAGGCTCAACTTTTCAAGACGTTACGTTGTGAATTGATAAATACCACGTATCGGAAAACATAACGAAGAATTGCATCGGATTTATTACTCTGTGGTCAAAATGTCGTTCTTGGGTAAAATCTTGCTGAACTCTTCAATCTTGACCGTAGGAATGTGTCAAAACGACACGAGTAAAGTGGCGAAGTTAGCAAGTTTGTATACCTACCGCAAAGAGTCGAAGTTGCGTGATACTATTAACCGGCAGGAATTTACAAATGACATCCATGCAAATTGAACCGATAATGGTAAAAGTTTGAGTTTGAAAATTAAATATCAACAGGTTCAAAACAGCCAAATACATTCCGATCTTTTCTTTTCGAAGGAGAATTGCTGATATCACAATTGTTTGGTGTTCTTCATTTCTGGCGAATTCGGCTGTTGGCGTTCCTCGTCGGAGTGACTGCCTTTAAGCGTACAGTACACATTCTGCCGATATCGATGACCGATTCAGTCGGATTTGCAGACGATCAGAAAACTACTTGAAAAAGTGTATTTCATAACAAAAAATAGTAGAAGATTTGTCCGCATATAAGATTGAATCTTTTCTGAAACTTATTGTTGTGAAAACAACATTGTTATATTCCAATTACCTGTTCTGCCCATGACAGGTGACCGTGTCAGCGCGCAGATCTCCCCGTATTCGAGGTGTCGGTCAACGCTAACGTTATATTTGCGACATGCTTTCCTATTAATTCCCTGTGTTGCCATGGCTACCTGAACAGCATGTATGTATTTATACCTGGTAATTGTTTACTATTTTGACTGACAGGTGGAAATATATCCGTTGTAGCTTGGTCAATGATTTATCGGAGAATGATCATACAGAATGATGGGGTGACTTTCATGTCATTCTGACATATTTCTAGTTTATATATACATTTTGAAAATAGTGGTCTTATATTAGGATGATTGGCCGAAAAAGTGGTTGGCTTGCTAGTTGCCTGGTAGTAGTGAGTGGTACGGTACATCTGACCGTCAATCAGTCCGTGGATGGTGTGGATCAGATAGAGAAGCTTGTGGCATGTGAAGAAAGTTTCATTACAATAGAGGTTGTCAGCGTTGACAAGGTCGAATTATATTGTCCGTAGTAACGAAGCGAATGACGCTAGAGTCATATCCATCTTCAAAGAGAAGCAGTTCCCGGCAGTCGGCTTGGTCAAGATACCATCCCGTCCCTACAGGTAGGGCGTAAGAATTGTACCTGCTGTCCCCATTGCATGATCGTAAGAGGCGACTAAATTTGGGATCTTATCTTTTCTCTTCTTTCTAAACAACTTTCTTCTTCCTAATATTTCCCTTGCCAATGCTCACTGTTGGCCTTTCGTTGAGCGTTCCCCCATGTGAGGAAGGCTTTAGGTTTTGCCCCCTGGCCGAGACATACCGGAGTCTGTAAAAATGGTAGTTTCTAACTCCTGCTTAACGCTCAGCAATTTAGGAGTGGGACGACTGGTTCGCCCGTTGTCAGTTTAATGTGACCTGGTGGGGTGTCCTTCTGGGTGTCATCGGCAGTATGTTTCAGTGAGGTAGCACTATAAAGTCGGCATCAGTTCCGCGCTATCACAACGAGACGAACACGAACATATTGCAGCCTCCAAAAACACACACGCATACACTACACGCATGCATCTAGCACACAGGGGAGGCCGTCCCTAAATGACCATAGCTGTTGATAGGACGTTAAACATTACTAAACCGAACCAAACTAAATCAAGATACCATCCAGGTCAATTTCTTAGATGGTCATTCGTATTTTTGGTGTCTGCGCCCATGTGGCTCAATTAAGGCTGGCGCGCATTGAGTAGAAGGTTGGTAGTCGCTTGAAAATCGTCTCGCTGGCATATTCCATTCGTCGGTCCGAAGCCCTGTCACTTCGGTTTTGTAGGTGATCATAAAAATTGTGAAGCAAAATACTGATGATTGGATATCGTTGAATACTAACATATTTGAATATGGTATCAATCATATTTTTGTGTAGGATAGCATTTGAGTAAGTAAATAGAAAACCAGCTACTGTTTGTCTACAAACAACAGCGGGGCGCCCTCCCTTCTAACTACCTTTTATTTCCTAGCGCCTAACTTGGCAATACCTCACTTCTGGCTTTAATGTTGAGCGCTAGCCCAGGTCAGGAAGGCAATGGGTTCTGTCCCCAGGCCAGGACATACCAAAGTCTATAAAAATGGTGGGTATTATTACCTGCCTAACGTTTAGCTGTCAGTATAATGTGACCGGGCAGATTGCTTTGCTGGGTGCCTTCGGCATGCTGTTTCAGTGAGAAAGCACTCTTCGTCGGCATCGGATCCACGCTATTACAATGAGGCAAGTACACCAACATACCTTTTTTCCAGCATACATTCACACTTGCACGCTGATACAACACAGATGGAGGCACGTCTTTAAATTACCTTATATGTTAATAGGACGTTAAACAATATACCCCCCACCCCACCCCATCCCGTACAATGTAAATGTAAGCGATTGTACACTATACCTTAAACATAAAAACACACTTCTGACATCTGACACAAATATCTGGTTGCACTAAGTACACCCCGCTACCCATCAATGGTGCAGTTATGTCGGGAATTTTGCAATAAAACGCTGAATCACTTGTTTACATTGTGTTCTAGTTGTGCAGTTAAGCAAGTATAGCTAAAGGGAAGTAGGACGTTGGACGGTGACAAAGGTAAGACATTTCTTACGAACATTATTTTTTTGAGTCATGATTATCTTATACATGTTTAATGTTTTGATATCATATCATTACGAGGCAAATGCAACAGGCAAATGTAATCGTTTATTTCTTGTTTTTCATATAGTTTGATAAATCAGGAGAAAACCAATGGTCTTATATGTGGTTTGGTTATTGGTGGTTGGTTTGGTAGTTGGTTAGTTGGGTATTGGCTCAAATATTGGAAGAATTACTCTGTTTCTGAGGACGTTTTCACCGTATTGTCAGCTTCGAATCGGGATTAATATTTTTCTGGTATAAACATATCAAGGGTTTCATAAGTTACTGATCGTTCGGCACCTTGATTAATAACACTTGTAAACAATCACTACCAATACCTACAAACTACAGATTTATGGCGTTATCAGCCTTTGTTATATGTTTATAATTTAACAGATGCTTAAATGTAGACGAACTTATTCTTTTCTTAAGGGAACCTTCTCTCCAACGAAAGGCGAACTGAAATACAAATATAGATCGTACACTGTTTTGGTACATATTTCGTGAATAACAAAACAAAGTCTTTGATGGGATTCCTTAACTAAGGTAACAGAAATATGATCTTGTAATGATATCACAAAGTGTACCCCACCATCCATACACAAAACACTAATATACTGGTGAACATTATGTTTAAATTATTAAGGGAAGTAGGTCGTGGACTTTAGTGACGCATGTAAGTACTTTATAATGTAGCTATATATTTTAGTCATGATTAATCTATGAATTTGTAGTGATATGATATAGTTATGAGGAAAATAAAAGAGGTAGATAAAATAGCTTAATTCAGGTTGTTTTATATATATATATATATATATTGAAAATAGTGGTCTTATATTACGATGATTGGCCGAAAAAGTGGTTGGCTTGCTAGTTGGTTGGTTGGTGCGTTTGTTTGTCTGGGTTTATTCAAATACAGGAAGATTCGTTCGGTTCTCAAGGCATCATTTACTTTTCATTATTGGAGCTTTCTATTAAAAGAATGGCAAACGACTTTATGGATATAGGTCGTACACCGTTAAGTTATATACTTCGTTAATAACAAATCAAGGCCAAGATAAATATGAAGAGGATGAAATCGTTAGAATGATTCCGTTCCTGGCTGCGATGTTTTTGAGTTCGGTCGTAGGATTTTCCATTATTCTGCATGCATTTCTATGGGAATGTATAGTGCCCAATTTCGGGCAGACCTGTGGGTGAATTCATATAAAGTTGAGTTTATTAAAGGAATCACTTTGACTGGTGACAAAATTCCCAAATAGTCCTTTAATTTTACATTAATATTTAGAGGATCGATTGTCTTTAAACAAAAAATATCTTGACCACGTTGACCGTATATTCCCTAATAAACTTGAAACAAAGGACAATACTCTTCTGTGTCAGCCGATTTCCTCGACCTTCCTTACGTTCAACTTTAAAATAAGAGTTTGGGCGATATTTCAAATATGCACGTTGCTAAAGACTATGGATACGTTTTATTTTTGCCATCAAGATCTTGCTGAAAATAGGCTTCTTCTATGTGTCATATGGAGGTTGAAGTGTTTGCTAGTGCTCAGTGCTCATTAGAGTACCCTGTGGTTTGTTGCAATTGTCACTACGCGATTTCACGATGTGAAGACGTTATATTATTAAGATTCGACTTCGATTGACATGGCGGGTGTCATCGATGGTGGATAAGACGCTCGCCCTTCCGGAACACCTGGTTTTATTCTTCTTTTACATTTTCAAGGGTCTCAATGTAAATCCTTCTTTTGAACGTATTTTTCCCTACTCCTATAGAGTTTTGAGTTCAAATTATGGTTTTGTCGACGCTTCGGTATTCTCTTGTTGTTTCTTCAACTTTTCCTTTCTTGACTTCCGTGAACTCCAAACGTATGGTGTTTGCATGTGCAATCGGACAGCTTGCACCAAATATCATGGTTTCCGTGAAAGATGTTGACTACTGAACAATAATCTTTATTGAGATGCAGGTTGACGAAGACTAAGAGGTGACGATGTGGTCGCTATCATGGTTTCAAAGGGACATATGATCGTCGATGGTTTTTCTACTCATTAATGTGCCTTGTGCCGTTTTCACTGACCAAGATCTCACTTTGAGGACGATTTTGAAAATGTTATAATTAATACTATTTACTTTTTGACAAAATGCAATAACGCAGAAATTATTAGTGTTTTTTATACTGTCCTAATGTTTTTCCACAGATGAGTTTCGCAACTCTCATTCTGACAGTCCTGTTGGCGTTGGTTGTCTATAGTCTTGGTTATGAATGCGATAAATCAGAAACGGTATGCGAGACAACCCTGGTTATCAAACACAGACAGACCATGTTGCATCCCACAGAAGCTCAAGTCTACCCAGCTAATGGAAAACTCTACAGATATGATGACGTTAATCAAACAAATGATATCTCTATGGATGATGTTATGACTGCTGATGGGTGGGAGGACAACATGTTGGTTGTCGTTGCAAACGAAAGCCTTCCTGGCCCGCCGATTATCGTGTATTTGGGACAGAGGGTCAAAGTTCATGTTGTTAATACGTTGTCTTCTGACACGGTCAGTATACACTGGCATGGTCTACCATTACATGGATTTCCCTGGATGGATGGTGCCCCTTTCGTGACTCAATGTCCTATTCTCTCTGGCCAGACATTCACTTACGACTTCGTTGCAGAACCTAAAGGAACATATTGGTACCATTCTCACGTAGGTAATCAGCGAACCAAAGGCATGAACGGAGCATTCATTATAAAAGAGCGGACTTCATCAGTCAGCGAACGAATCATGACGGTACAAGATTGGAACCACAACTGGGGTGCGGATATGAATTTCCAAAAGATGCTACGAGCTACACCATTCGTTGATCGCAAAATCATACCTTTCAGAACATCTGTAGACGGGGGATTGTTTGCTCCGTTCTATGCATCTTCCGTTCTTATTAACGGTAGAGGCCGCTTCTACAACGGGACAGGCCAACATAACGGTGCACCTTTGTCTGTATTTACCGTCGAACCAGGAGTGACCTATAGATTCAGAGTTATCCATGTAGGTGCTTTGTATCCCATACGAGTATCGATCGACGAACATACGCTCACTCTCGTCGCTTCTGACGGACATGATATCAATCCTGTTAATGCTGAATCGTTCATCTTTGCCCCTGGGGAACGATACGACTTTGAAATCAATACTGATAAAGTCATCGGGAACTACTGGATACGAGCGGAAACTATAGAAGTTGCTTCGCATAAATCCGAAGCTGTCCTCCGCTACAATGGCGCAGATGCATCTCGATACCCGTTAACTTCTAGAAAGACTTGTACCCAGGACGACAGGTGTTTAGTCGTAAACTGTCCGTTTGCAACATATCCTGCAGACACATACACAGACTGTTTACGATACGATGGTATCCAATCAGCAGCTATGGGCGACCCCGCGCCCGAGCCGTCATCACTAGATACGTTCAAAGAACACTTTGTGAATTTCGGTTTCCCTCTTAATCGAGCGTCAATGAATGGAATTAATTTCAAGCTACCCACAGTGTCAGCACTAACTCAGCCCTTCGAGATTGAGACCACATGTGACAAACAGGACTGTGGGGAAGACAAAGTTTGTACATGTACACATACAATCAACACCAACCACGATGATGTCAGGAACAGGTCTCGCTCATCCGATGCACCTTCATGGTTACTCGTTCTACGTACTGAAAATGGGTTATGGGACCTACAACATGACGACCTCACGGTACATTTCGCCAAACATGGACATCGATTGCCAAGGAACTGGAGACATGACCACAAGTCTGTGTAATCACGCGACTTGGAGAAACTCTGGCTGGCATGGAAACAACGTTCCGGGATTAAATTTGATCAACCCTCCGAAGAAAGATACATTGAACATACCTGCCGGTGCGTATGCTGTAATAAGAATCAAGGCTAATAATCCAGGAGTATGGATGCTGCACTGCCACATCCAAATGCATTCAGCTCTTGGAATGAGTTTGCTTATTAACAGCTCCTATGGTATGCACCCCGTTCCTCCAAAAACGTTCCCCGTCTGCCATGATTACCCCTCGGTCTTCCGTGAACGCTATGAAGACCAGCAACAGGGAACATCTCCTGAAGGCAAAATAGTGAACCATATTATCAAAGAAGGTAAGTGTTTTCTTTTCCGATATATTGCATTCAAATATTCTTTATAATCATAACCTTTAAACTATATCCGTCCGATGCAGGATTCCCGCAGACATTGATGTGTCTTACTGTAAGAATGTTTGGTTCCATTTGTAATTGTTTCTAACTTACAAAGATTCAGGAATTTTCTCATTGAAATGAAAAAAAATACAATACATCAGAAGGACAAAACCGGTTATTACTTTGTTAGTATTCAGATATGAATTTCGTTTCGTTTGTAGTGTAGTTCTTAAATTCGTGCTACATGTGTAGTGTAGCACTTCGCACGTGCATTTAGTGTGTATTAGCATTCGACGAGATCGTTCACAGCAGTACGGACGTGTATTTTACCTGTACACTGTATAACTAAAACAAAATGAACATTGACAAAGAGGGTAGCTCAACTGAGCCTACATGTACCAGGCAGGATTCTACGGTGAACCTTTCCACTGCTGATGCCCTGTCCCTTTTTAGCTCTAGGCTGGATATCGCACTGAGTTCTCACCGTTCCCTCATTTCGTCCGACATTGACAAAAAACATCAAAGTCAGGAGAAACTTTTGGTAGCGAATAAGTCAGACTTTAAATTTAAATTTGAAGGGAACCGTAAACAGTTTGTCTTTAACTCTGAGATAAGACTGGACATTTCCAAAGCTATTCAAGCTATTAAAGACGATAATAGCGAATTAGCAGAGTCGACGCTCACGATCTGTCTCGCTCATTTAGACGAGAGGAATAAGATTGTTAAGATAGCGGACCGTCATGGTTGGGACACGGTTGCTGAGTACGAAGATGACCCTATTTGTGACGACGCTGATGATTCTTCTAAGTTGCGTCAGGCTGAGGCCAGAGCACAGAGGAAACGGAAGGCAAAATCTGCTAGCCGTAATACGAATAAGCCGTATGAACGTCCAGGTCTTGGGCGGGGAAGCGGAGGCAACACGGGGAACGTCGATCTTTTTCGAGGCTTTCAAAGTACTGGAGAAATGGGAGAGTTCCCTTTCTACGCCCAAAGAGGAGCGGTTAACGGAAGTATGCCTGGAGCGCCCGGGGGTTTCCATCCCTCCTCAGCAGGACCGGTCAACAAACAAAACTCGACCTGTTTCTACTGCTACGGGGCCGGACACTGGGCCAGCAACTGCCCGAGGAGAGTCAGAACCACCCCAACCCACACCCAGAGTGTCCCCGCAATCAAACAATGAAGATCAGAAGATGGTAAGCTATCATTTGAATGAAGTCGTATCTGTAAAAAATACGTTTGTAAATCAAAATGGATTTGTTAAAGGCAGTCTCAAATCTTGTCTGAAGTTTTGGAAAACATGTCTAAAAGCTAGGGATTATGTCTGTAGTGTAGTTGAATATGGGTATTTAATTCCGTTTATTGTGGAACCTGAGTCGAAAATAATGAAAAATAATAAGTCGGCGCTTACGCATAGTACTTTTGTCAGTGACGCTATTTCTGAATTGCTCGCGAGCGGTGTAGTAGATGAGTGTGTGTCGCCTCCCTACGTAATTAACCCACTGTCGGTTTCTGTTAACAGTAAGGGCAAGAAAAGACTTATTTTAGATCTAAGATACGTCAATCAGTATGTAGCAAAACAAAAGTTTAAACTAGAGGGTAGCAGAGAAGCACTAGAATACGTACAACAGGGGTTTTTCGGATTTAAATTTGATTTAAAGTCAGGATATCACCATATTGAAATGCATCCAGATCACATAAAGTTTTTGGGGTTTTCTTGGACAGTTGGAAATAAAGTGAAAAATTTCGTTTTTAAATGTTTACCGTTTGGCTTGTCTTCGGCGCCACATATTTTTACGAAAATGTTGAGGCCTCTAGTCAAAAAGTGGCGGTCGGAAGGTCACATGATGATCGTTTACCTTGACGACGGGTTAGGAGTTGCCCAGTCAATTTCTGCTGCGAAAACTTTATCTGATATGGTTCGTTCCGATTTGTTGTGCGCTGGTTTCGCACCGAATCATGAGAAAAGCGTCTGGACGCCAGTACAGAAATTAGAGTGGCTAGGTTTCATATGGGACTTTGTAGGCGGTGTAATAGAAATAAGTGTCTGTAAAAGATCTGAGATTAAAAACTTGGCTAATGAGCTCATCGGTGAGACGAGCGCAGTATCCGCGCGTGCCGTAGCTGTTTTTACAGGTAAGGTCATATCCGTGTCGCTTAGCCTGGGACGCGTATGTAATTTTCATACGAGGGAGTTACACAAGTGTATATGTCACCGTACCTCTTGGGATTCGCCGATGTGCCTGTCAGATCAAGCTTTGCATGAGTTGCAATTTTGGGAGCTAAATGTCCTTAGTTTACCTCCGAGTATATTCAACCTTAACACACACGCAGTTGACCACGATCTTCATATCTTTACTGACGCTAGCGCTATCGCGGGCGCAGGCTACTGTGTTGAGCTAAACGAGCACATCTCTCACGTCATGTGGAATAAAGATGAGTCCGGGCAAAGTTCTACTTGGCGAGAAATTAAAGCAGTAGAGCACACTTTATTAAGTTTTGGACAAATTTTGGCCAATAAATCGGTGTTACTTTGCACCGATAATCAGAATGTGCCCCGTATATTAGAGAAGGGAAGCATGTGTATATACTTAGACAGGATGGCAGTGAGCGTGTTCGAATTCCTCAAATCAAATAACGTGTCTTTGTCTATACAATGGATTCCCAGGGGATCTAATGTTTTAGCTGATCATTTTAGTAAGATCTTTGATTTTGACGATTGGGCAGTAGAGGAGAGTACATTTTTGTATTTTGATAGAATATGGGGCAAATACACCTGTGATCTTTTCGCAGATAACAACAACAAAAAAGTCACGTGTTTCTTTTCAAAGTACGCTTGCGTAGGTTCAGCTGGAGTAAATGCGTTTGATTTTGATTGGTCCAAATTTAACTGCTGGGCGGTTCCACCCATTTACCTCATCGCTAGAACTGTCAATCATTTCCTGAGGTGTAGAGCGCACGGGACTTTGGTCGTGCCTCATTGGCCATCGGCGGCCTTTTGGCCTTTGTTGTCATTCAGGGGTGGTAAATCATTCAAGCCGTTTGTTATGGAATGTGCTTATTTTGTAAAACCCGCCAGTTTTTTCCGTGCAGGTTCCCACTCTGAAAGTATTTTTGCAGAGAAAGTCTTCCATTCCAACGTGTGTGTTTTAAGAATAGATTGTCGGTAAAAAAAAAATAAAAAAAAGTGTAAACATATTATTTGCGGCGTCGAGTACCCGTACAGTTTTATACATTCATAGATTTTGTGTAACGTTAGGTTACTATAGTCAATGATTATCACTTCAGTGTAAAATTATTAAAGATAGTAGGTGGTTATCATCTTTATGTACAGTTATGGTTGTATAAACCAGTGGTTGTCACTTCAGTGCAAATTTATTTAGTGTGATAGGTGGTTATCACATTTATGTACCGTCATGGGTGTATAACCCAGTAGTTATCACTTCAGTGTAAATTTATTTAGTGTAATAGGTGGTTATCACCTTTATGTACCGTCATGGTTGTATAACCCAGTAGTTATCACTTCAGTGTAAATTTATTTAGCGTAATAGGTGGTTATCACCTTTATGTACCGTCATGGTGGTATAAACCAGTGGTTATCACTTCAGTGTAAATTTATTTAGTGTAATAGGTGGTTATCACCGTTGTGTTACACTGGCATTTTTTAGTTTTGCGTATTCGGTGGTTATCGGATTAATGTAACATTACAACTAGACAATTGTTAGCACAGTTGGCAGTTTCATCAATTAGCGGAGTTATGAGGGTTTACTGGGTTAATAATTTTTGAAAATATATAGACAATCCACAACGTTAGTAAGCTAAGTTTCAGATTGTGTTGGATCTTAATGTTAAAATTAATTTTTTTACTTATTTTTTTTTTTTTTACAGAACACTGTGTTATTAGGGCCAGTTTGGTCAGAGGGTTGAGGATATGAAAGGCCATCCTTTGCTTTGTGAAGCAGCATCTAAATTGTGTTAAAGGCCAGCCATGCTTCTTCTACAGACAAGCAATACTGTTCGAATTTCGCTAAATTTAAAGATTGGTGTCGTATTACGGGCCTGGGATATCTGCCCTCTAGAAGTAGTACAGTAGCCGTATATTTGTCTTATTTGGTTCAACAGTCAGTCTCGGTATCTACCCTTAATTCACATTTCTATAGCATAAAGTGGCAACATGATTTCGCAGATTTGCCTAATCCATGTACAGACAAGTTTGTTTTAAAATCTTTAGAAGGAGCTAAACGTATTCTTTCTAAGCCTATTTTTAAAAAATCTCCCATTTCTGTGGAACATATAGAGTCCATTTTTAGAAAGTACGGAAACTCGGAAAACGTTAAGGATTTACGGTTATGCACTTTGTGCATTTTAGGATTTGCAGGGTTTTTCAGATTCAGTGAACTAGTCGATTTAAAAATGTCAAATTGCGTTTTGAAAAGTTCACACCTTGAAATTACACTTGTTCATAGCAAAACAGATGTCTATCGTCAAGGCAACGTTGTGGTGATTGCGAAAACAGGGAAGAAAACTTGTCCAGTTGCTTGTTTTGTGAAATACATTACAGCTGCCGGGTTAAGTTTTGGTGCAGATTCATACATTTTCAGAGGTGTTTCCTTTTGTAAATCTACAGGAACATATAAGTTATGTAGTCGAAATCAAGCTCTTTCTTACACTAGAGTTAGTGAGAATTTTCTGGGCGCAATTTCGGAAATTGGACTAAAAAAGTCAGAATTTGGTCTACATAGCTTGAGGGCTTGTGGCGCCGCTATAGCCGCTAACAATGGCATTTCAGAGAGATTATTTAAAGCACATGTCAGATGGGCCAGCGAGAAAGCAACGGATGGTTATGTTTTGGATGATCTTGATCATAAAATTTCTGTTTCCGCTAATCTTGGCATTTAAAATTGTATTCCTTTGATGTTCGAAATATTGCTGTACACGAATCTCGCAGGCTATTAAATTGGAAAAGCAATTGTTTGGTTTATGTTATTATTGCTAAATAGATACGAAATGATTTATGTACGGATGAGGAACGAAGGAGAACATAAGTCTATTTACTGAATTTGTATTTTTAAATCGTACAAAGAGATGGGTTTAGCATCGATCCTTACCTTCTTCCTATAGTTTTAAATTGGACAAAGAGAGGAGTTTAGCAGCAATCCTTGGCCTGTTCTCTTCCACTTGTTTACATATTGAATTTACGTTAGATTTGCTCTCTTGCCAATTTGGTATAGTTTATCAATCATTTGCCGTGTCCAGTGCAATACCGTTGGCATTTCTTGTGTTTAATTTCGGATGACCTTTATGGAACGTCCTCTTTCTGGGCAATGTTTGGAGTCCTTGTTGCTATCATCCTGGTGTTGATCGTCTGTAATCTACTCCTACGGAAGAAAATGCACATGTATAAGAAGAAATGTGAAGCCACTACAGCAGTAATTCCAACTGGGAAAGAAAGCCAAGTCTCAACAAAGTTTTAACTTTATAATATGCATCAAGTACAACGTTTTATTACATATCTATGATCATATTGTATTCTTATCTGTATGGCCTTATTCATATTGCAATCTGAACATATAACAATTGTATACCATAAATGCTCATTTTCCATATTAAAACAATAACCATATTGGAGATTTCACAATATGTCCGAAGTGATATTGACGTTTTCCAAATGAACGTTCCCACATAAGCTAATGTCAGATGAGAACGGTTGCTGAGGGAGACGCTGCAGATAAAAAAGATGTATTAAAAAAATGAAAAGATTGAGGTACCAACAAGTGTTGCATTGGAGACAGCACACTAACCTATGTCTCCATTATTATGGTCTAAGTAGAAGACACAGATTTTACGGATGCACATATTTTGTGGATTTGAATAGGTTTACTTTCGTTCAAAATGAATGTTTTATGCCACCCTTGGATAAACTATATTATTTCTTTTAATAAAATTTCTAAATTCTGAAGATTTTTTTCGTGATGGTATGACATTTACTGAACATTTTGAAATGTCATCGAACATGTCTTGCAGTTTTTGTTAACAAAAATATATCTTAAAGCTGTCAATGTAGGTTAAAAAGCTTTCTATAGAGATTTTTGAAATAATTGTTTTTTCCTGTTTTTGAAATCTTCCCCACAGACAATCTCTTCCGGCTGTTGTATCTAATGAAGCGGCGACATTTTATAATGTTCTTGCTTGGTAACGAATATTGGTCTCGATGGGTAGAAAAAGCGTATTACTCGTCAAAGCGGTTAGCATTTGTTAAACGTGTTCGAAAGGTGACACTTCTTAACTATACAAAAAGAACACTTTCACGAATTTGAACCAACTTTTTTTTTATCAGATCAGTTGAATAAAATTGAAATGGAACACATCAAAGATATCAATTATCTAAGAAAAGAAGTGGAAATAATATTAAAATTCGACCAATTAAATTTTCTAATGCACAACACCTGCGCCTCCCTCCCCTCCCCCCTCCCCCTACTACCAAAAATCAAAACAAACCGCCCTCAAAAAAAACCCATACGACTAACGCTTATGCCTACCTTATATATATCCAACTAGTAATACGATCATGTGAGAAATAAATACTCATTCCAATATCATTTCCATGAGAACGGTTCAATTACCAAATATCACATTGTTTGCTGCACACCTGGGAATATCGCATTTTGCACGAGTTTTACTAGTAAAGTGTCTACACCACGAAATAATTACAATAAAGTTCGATATTGCAAAAGCGTTAGGTTCCGCTTTTGCCAAAAATTCATTAACTTGAAACCACTCAAACAAATAAAAAAAAACATCTAAAGAAAAGAAACATTTAAAATTTTCCTCTAACAACAATGAACATTGCAATCAACCATTTTCACTATTAGAACTCCGGGAATCGTCGCAAAAATCTAATGATTCTGCAACAGGACCCGATGGTGTACAGTATCAATTTCTAAAACATCTATCTGAATCATCACTCAAAACGTTTCTAGAAATTTTTAATGACATATATAAAACCGGAAAAGTCCCTAGTTCATGGGAAAAAAATAACGGTCATCACTATTCCTAAACCAGGAAAAGACAACTGTGTTTTTTAACTACCGCCAAATAACACTCACAAGCTGCATTTGTAAAACCCTCGAACGAATGTAGAATCAAATAACATCATATCACCACTTCAAAGTGGTTTTAGATCTAGAAGAGGTACAAAGACCATTTGGTTAGACTTGAATCCTTTGTGCGCGAGGATGTATTTAGTTGCTGTCTTCTTGGATCTGGAAAAGGCTGACGAAACAACGTGGAAATATGGAATCATGTAAGATCTGCACGAAACAGATATAAGAGGTAATTTACCTAATTTTATTTCCAACTTCCCATCAGACAGAGTATTTCAGGAACAGAATAGAACAGCATTTTCGAACGCCTACAAACAGGAAATGGGTGTCCCACAGTGAAGCATTATTTTTGTAAAACGTTTTGGACTGAATATAAATAGTACTATCAAAACATTAACTTCATTTGTAGGCGTTATATTCGATAGTTAATAATCGTTCCTTCCTCATATAGAGTCAACACTATTCCTTTGCACAGTTTTCTTGCTACTTTCTTCCCTTGTAACTTCTGTGTTCTTTCACTGTGCTGCTTCGAGATAGTATTAAATCTTTTATCAAATCAATGTCTGTCTGATATCCCGATATCAGCGCCACAACTTCTGGTTTCAACACAACTTCCCTAAGCCCTGTTGATAATGCATGACGAAACTGGGTTTCAACCAATTCAGGGTCATACTTTGGTCTCAGTTTGTTACCAGATGACACAAACAGTATTTGCTGACGCAAGTCCAATGCCCGATAGAGAAACTCCTGTAATGATTTCTTAGATCCTTGCACCAACTGATGCAGTTCTTGATATATATATTGTAGTTCAGTTGATGTTCGCTCCTTGAAAAAGGATTGCACGATACAACTCAGATCTGAGAGGTTTAAATCACTACGGCCCTCTAAATAACTTTTAAGTTTCGAAGAGGGCTGGATTGCCCTGATAACTCCATCTAGTATTTCAGAGTCCGAGTATTTATTTTCTTGCCCCACTTGAATCTGTCCCATCAAGCTAACAAAGCTGATACAATTCGGTGTATCGCCGACTTGGCCCTGAACTTTAAAATCTTTCCTCCATGTGACTCTCGTGTCCATGTATTTTGATCCAGAATCAGTCAATATCTGTTGTTCATCTTCTTTCTTTATGAACAGATTGTTCTTGGGTTTAAAACCGCTCAAGATTTTGGTCAGCTTACACAAACCACCATCCGTCTCCTCCTGTACATCCTCGAGGATTTCTTCAAAGGTGAGCAATATCTCCTCCCTGGAGAGGTTCTCAATATCACTTCCCTCCTTGATATCCGTCAACACTTTCACCAGGTCCTCACTGTCAGCAACAAACAACCGACTGCGTACTGCTGTCATCAGTTTTTGGTGCCTGGCATCATCCATGATGCTGCCGGATCCCGGACGAGCCCCCAAATTTAGTTACCCCCGAGTCCTTCGGGTTCCACGCTGGATGGACCTAGAGAGAGACACAACAAGACCTTCTTTAAGGAATGTTTATTGGCGGGAACAAATTAGTCACGTGATCACGCAACATCACTGTTCCGACAATCCTTGCGAGTTATCTCCCTTAGTATCACAATATATGTCTCTATCGGAACAATATTTGAGTAAACATACATATATTAAAAGAATGGGGGTACCTGATTTATACAGTGTTCCATTTGTTGTGTCGTTACGATACTAACAAGTGGCCACGCTCTCTCGTATTTGAAGGCGATTTCCTTCTAACCGCGGCACCGGTCACACCCATTTACCCACTCCTCAACATTTCGGTCCATCCCTGGCTAGTGAAAATCGTTTTCCGTAGCAGTGATGATGTCCTGTCCTTTCCAG